TCCTTTGGACGAGAGATGCAGATTGTATGCATAATACGGCCAAAGATCCGGTCGAGACCTACAGAGTACTGCGCGTAATCGCGTACTGTTGTTACTTGGCGGGAATCTAGGACGCGTCAATGGTAAGGGAGAAAAAGCAGAGATGGCGGGGGAGGGAAGGAAGAAAGGTTAGCGACGGTGTCGTGAATGTGCGCCCCTTTTATAGCCTAGCACTAAGCAGCGGCTGGTCTGTGCGCTGCTGTATTCTGGGTATATGCGTGATGACGCAATGACGCAATGACGGGGCTCTGCAGTGATGATGGAGAGAGCAACCTAGGGGACAATCACATGACACGCGCTGAGCATTCAGTGCGCTGCAGCGTATGCTGCCTCCTGGATCAGGCCGTGACTCGAACACGACAGAGACATTCTATAACCCCCATCCTGGACGTGTCGCAGTGGACCTGTTTCTTTACTTGTGGGCAGCTGGCCGCAATCAACTTATTTAATTTAGCGCACATTCACTCAATGAAGTATTGTTGCATTAGTTTATTTCGTTACGTTTTGGTGTTCATGCTCTAAAGAAGCCAATTTGGTCCTATGTCTAGAAATACAAGGTATACGGTCAGCTAGTGATATAACTCTATCGTGCGAGGGCGTTCTATCTGGTATAGTCTAAGTCGTAAAAGGCTCTGTGCCGTTGGGAGCTTCTGTTCGTTTCTAGTAAGTCAAAGAGAACAGGGAAAGCTAATGAAAGTAGTCGAAAGTGTCGAGTCCTTTTTATGGGCTGGCCGCATATACGGATCGTCTCCTCAAAACATGTCCCCATTTCCACAGTGACTAGAACAAAATGGTCAGGTTGTGAAACGACAGGCTTCGATAGAGGACATACCCAAAATACCGGCATCAGCAGGAAAGAGACACCCGCGAGTAGGGCAGAGCCTGGGCCCAAACCAAGGTTGACAAAGAATGCACGTCCGAATAGTGGGAAGACGCTAGCAATGGCGGAACGAAAGAGGTCGTTGCCAGCGAGAACCGACGCAGCGTAGGTAGGATACGCTGACGTTACATACGTGAGGATGCTCTGGAAGGTGAGGTAGATGCCGGGAAGGTAGAGTCCAGCACCGATAATGGGAACGATCCAGTGGATGCTTTCCTTCGAAGTGAATCCGAAAATGAGAACACTAGTCGGGATGAAGATACTGGCCATCAAACCAATCTCCAGGCGGATCTCGGGGCCAATGTCGACACCCGCAGCTGCGGCTTTGGCAAATCTAGGCGCGATATGGTATTTCAGATAGAAAACATATACGGTATACTAGAGAACTGTCAGTACCAGGACTCGGGAGAGAACAACATCACTTACTGTGATGCTACCAGATACGACGAATCCAAGGAAAGGCAGACCGCTGAGACCCAGATTGAAATGGTAGATGTCGGTAAATACAAGCGGGAAAGCTTCGAACCACAGGTAAAAGATTGCATCTGTTACAAACGGCGTCAGTTAAGGATTCTACCTGAACAGATAGTCGGGTGTTACTCACAGACAAATCCCAAGTAGACATTTGCAAACATCAAGACTGGCTCCTTGGCAAGAATGAAGGGACGGATCAACGCTTCCTGCATCACCTCTCCAAGGGACTCGCCCTCTGTATCCTTCTCACTTTGGGATCTCAGCTCCTGGTTTCCCGTGAGCTTCCTGAGCCGCTGCACACGCTTCAACAGGATTGTTGGCTCATAAGTCTCGGGGAGAAGTAGCAGAAGGAAGATGAGAGCGAATCCGGCTATCCAGATGAGCTCGTACTGAGGCCACCTCCATCCGTTGGCCTGCGCTGCGAAACCTCCAATAACGGGACCAGTGATAGGACCAGCGACAGCTCCGAGTGCCCAAATACCCAGAACGTATGGGAATTGGTGCATGGAGTAGATGTCCGCCATGGAGGCGCCTCCCGTAGCGAGTGCAGGGCTTCCGACGAATCCAGTGAGGAAACGGAACGCCAGAACCGTACTCATGTTTTTGGCGACAACGACAGGTACCTGGAAGATGACGAATAGGAACAAGGTGGCCATGTACACCGGGTTACGACCTATCCCCGGAAGTTCCTGGAGGGGTGCCAAAAACATGGGCCCAATACCGTACGCTGTTTAAGAACATCAGGACGGCGCTGACAGCAGTTAGATGCGGAACAACTTACCGAGAACGTACAGCGTAAGACCGAGAGTAGCTGTTGTCTGAGAGACATTGAATTCAGCCATCAGACCAGGAATAGATGGTGTATAGATGGCTGAGCCGATGTATACGCTGAAGGTCAAGAAGCTGATGCTGAATGCGACAAATGCGCGCTTCGCGGGGGACCAATTTCTGAAAATAGAATTGAGATAATGTTTTTGATCAAGTTGGCAATAAAACAAACCTTGGATTGTCCTGATCATCGTCCCCGTACCATCCTACTATGTATGGATCAGAGCCAAGAGCAGCATCTATTTGTTTCTGCTTCTCCGTGTCGATATCCACAGCCAGTGTAGACTCCCTCGTGAGTTGTACTCCCGGTGTTGATGTACCTGATGTACCTTTAGCCTTTTCCAGGTCACCGCATAGCGTTGTCGCGTCAGATTCTGGGGACACGATTGTCGACGGTCTTAGAGATGACGGAAGAAGGAAATGTTGAGAAACTTCAAAGTCAGGTCGTTGGTCTGCGTAGGGAAAGATACGACCATTGGAAATGTAGTTGATGGCCTGTCCGATAGTAGAATCCCGGATAATATCCTGGACCATAGTGATACAGGTGTAGAGTGCGGAAAAGGGGAGTTGATGCTATCTCTTTCTTTCCGCCGCTTTTATACCTGTCAGAAAATTTTCACTCTGATAATGATTCAACCGCTGAAAATGGATTATTCATCGAACTGGTTGGTGAGCAAAAGTTCGGCTTTGACATTCGTCATCATGTTCGGCGTTTTCCGTGTGGGTCTAACTTGTTAGAGCAGATCTCCTATCAAAACTCGAGTTTGTCGCCAAGAAAGTGGCACAGTAAGCGAGAAGGGATTTATGAGTCAACGTCTTGATTAATAAGGCATAACGCCAGAAAGCTCGGGAATGTGAACTAGCATGGTCAGCAACTGAGCGCTGCTGCAATTCCAAAGATAGGATTGTCCTTGACGCAGAGCGTAGTGGCATTGACGCGACACTGGGAGATACCTACTACGCAGCGGAAGAAGGTGATGGTAAGAAGAGAAGGACGTTGGACGAGTGGACGCAGCACGTGCTTTCAGGGACGCGTCCATCACACGTGTAGCCTGGCGAGCCGGCGGCTTTATAGATAGGGCCTTGCTGAGTACTCGTAACTGTGGATCACACGTGTGCCTACCATGGGCAACTCAAGGGCGGCATTTCCTAGTATACCTATCACCGTTCTTGACCAATTCTGGGTTGACACAAGGCACTTCCTCGAGTAATCAGGTTACCAACCAAGTTCGATAGCGGTTGGGAACCGGCGAATGCAATTGAAGAGCGCTATATCTCGCCTACCGGTACGCCTCCGTGACATCCAAAAATTATCTTGCTTATATTCCTCGTAGCGATATTTACTTGTACGGCTAAGTGATAATGCACCTTTCGTCTTGAAGAGTGTTGAAATAGGATCACCAGAATTCGAAATATCAGTCTTATTCTCGTCGCCACCTCTCTCGCTTAATGCAAGAAACCATTGCATTCCTATCCTTGATGTCCTAAAATACGAAAACCATGTGATTCTTGTGCTCCCGCTATCACGACTCGTGGGATCCTCCATTTGATATGACAAGAGAAGTTGTTGAATGCTTGAGACAACTATTTGAAGTGTGTATAGTATCTTCAGTTCTTTTTTCGGACTGATCGACATGATGCTAAGGCATTTAATTTATGCACCAACATCTCGTTGCTCCCCGGTAAGCCCGATCGTTCTCAGAGAACTTAATTGTCTCACTTACACTCATGGACATCATGATGGATCCTACGAAAACGTATCCAAAAGGTTTCCTTGCCGAACGACCTTTCATAAAAGCTGACTGCCGTTACCCGAGTTGCACACGCACCACGTGTTGGTACCGATACTGCTCCATCGACTTTTGACATGCCCGTTGGTACGACCCAGCAGATGGCATTCAAGTTCCCAATGAGTGGATCCTTTGGGATTTTTGCAAACCTACCAGAACAGGTCTGGATTTTTTACGGCCACTTGTAGAAGACATGGTCAAGGACAATCCTTCTGAACGACCCACCATCGATGATGTGGTGGTACGTTTTGGCGCGCTGAGAAAATCGCATTCCCGATGGCGCCTCCAAGTCGTGACTCAACTGGGAATCGGATCAGCGGTCATCGATTCCTTTCGCCTAAGTATCTTGCTCGACACTTAGAATTCGCTCTTATGTTTAGATCTCCTCTACCCAAGATTGCTACTCCTCCTGCTCGAGTCTTACCTGCTCGACGGGACTTCTGTACGGCGAGTCGGTACACTTGATGGCGCAAGTCTTGTCGGCTATGTACGCTCCTTGGCGCTCCCGGCCCATAAATCTCTTGCAGCCGTGCCATTAATCTAGATATCCGTTTGGGTAGTCTACTTTTGCTCGGCGAATGTCAGAAGCCAATAAGTATCATTACTCTGTCTTACAGGGACATTCAACCATACTATCGATACTATAGACTGCTTTCCAAAGAAGGCGACTTATGGATCTGGAAGACTGAAGGGGGCAAGAGCTTTGCTTGCAGTGATCTACCCTGCTGTTCACGCAAGGATTGCCTGACAAGCTGAAGACGAAATGGCGCAGGAGAACATATCATATTGCGGCGACTGGTAGGTCAGATCGATGAAAACGCCTTATAACCATATCAAGAGTCAAGACAGTAAGAATCCTTTGTCTATCTCTTGTAACGAAGTACAGGAATACTCGCCAAGCCTACGTGCCACGGCCCTGATTCTACAACGTACATACGACTGTGTAGGTTTGTCAATATAGAAATTTCAGATTAAGTTTCGAAAAAAAATGTCGGTAGCAGGAATCGAACCTGCGGCTCTTCGGAGTTACTAGCCACAACGAAGTGATTTAACCCCTAATCGATACCGACCCGTCCGGTTTGCTTTGCCTTGATTATATGTCGCTTCTGCATCCTGCACCAAAATTATTGAAAATTCAAGTTCAAATTCCTATACTATTCACACAATCTCTTCAAACACATTTTCCACAAGAAAACAAGACTAATGATACAGAACACAGATGTAACGAGTAACAACGAGAAGATGAGTCCATGAAGACCGATAAATAATGCAAATATGGACCCAAAGCAGCGAATGGTATGCAATAATACACTGAGGACGAAAACAAAGCTTGAATGAAAAACCCCTGCCGCCGGTGTCTAACTTCATACAAGTGTCCGCCCTTCAACACAATAAAAGGAAAAAAGAACCCGGAACAGGTATTCCGATGATGTTTGATATTTCGTGGGCATGAGAAAAAAAAACTCTAAGCAAAACGATAGCGGAACAGAGCGATAGACGTATATGTACACGTGTGATTTATTTACACGGCGTGCGGAGTGTGGGAGGATCCAAAGATGGAACGAGAGAGTGGCCTAGAGATCTATAATTTTTTTCGGGTGCTGGCGCGTCAGAGATTGAACGGTAGCCTTTTGTGCGCGTGGAATGGAGGGCGGGATATGTGGTCGAGATGAGGACGAGGTGCAAGGGTAACAGAGAGGATTGGGAGGTATGAAAGAGCGTGGAGAGATCATGGTATAGGTACAGAATGAGGGGAATGAACCACGGACGAGATAAAGCGGAAGCGAAAGAAGGAATGGAGGCGCGCGCGACTGGAAACTCTACATGGAGGTAAGGATAACACACATCAGTCCAATAGATGAATGTCCAAAAAAAAAACAAGACAAAATGAGGGAATGAAGGGAAGCAAAGGAATATATTCGGAGAATATTCCTTCCGCGAAAATGCCACCACAGGACACGCATTACGCTATATCCCGTCACGACCCAGGTTTCCAATATTCTGCATTCCTCCCCCGCCGACCAGCCCGCCCCCGCTTCTGGGCCGGCCTATCAAATCCTGGGGCACTCCCCAGGAATTTGGTCCAGGCCCCTGATAATACCCTCCTCCGCCTTGAGAGTAGCTGTGTTGATGACCCAGAGGAGCCGAGTCACTTCGTGCCCTCGTCGAGAACTTTTTCGAATTGCGGACATTGACCACCTCTTCAGGGATGGTATGTGGAGGGGCGGAGAGAATACCTCCGGGTGAATGGGTACCGGCACTGCCCATACCACCGCTTGAAATACCCCCGCCCATCCCCACGCCCAATAGACTTGAAGACGTATCAATCCGCGGACGTTTGCGATCACCACCACCGGGATGCGCATTATACTGCAACATTGGGGGTGGAGCGGGTGACGTAATGTAAATTCCAGGGTTAGGTGAAGGAAGGGAGGAGTGTGGATGAGGTGAAATGGAAGACATGTGGTTATGGTTATGATTGTGGTTGGAGAAGTGTTGGGGCGGGTTTGGCGACGACGGCGACGGCGAGTCAGATAGCTCCGCTGGGAATTGAGGGACTGTAAATTTGTTTCAGCAAGCGGAATAAAGGCATTGGGGATAACACAGAAGAATATGAACACCGGTAACAGCGGTCAAAAAGTGTAGGAAGATGATAAAGGGACGAAATAATACGTAAAGAACAGCAAAGCGCACATCACACAAGAAAGGAACTCCGTAGAGGCGCGGCAAGAAAAAAGGATCATGCCAGCGGAGGGGCGTACCGCGAATAGACGTGTGAACCGGATGAACCAAGGTAGAAGACGAAAGGTACAACTAAGGCACGGGTTTGAAGGCAAACAAGGCAGAGCGGCAAAAGCAGGCGCTCGCGGAAAGGACGCCGAAACCATGAGGAAAACTGCTGCAAACCAGGTAGTATGAATGGCACGTGTCATAAGAATGTGAAAAACTGGTGAGCAGGAATGCGTAACGGAACACGTAAACTGAAAGAGAAGGCCAGACAAGGACCCAGTAGAGGAGAAGTCAAAGCATTCGGACGGCGTTGCTTTGGCGTAGGGGGGATAAAGCGCGCGGAAAACGAGGCGAAAAGTGGGTGGCGAGAAAGGACGGAGCAAGGCAGGACGCGAGAATACACAACGGAGACGTGTAAAATGGAATTGGCGGATACGTTGAAGAAGTAGAAGAGAGGGAAAGCAAAAACGAAAGAAAGTCAAAATGAAGGAGATGTACTCACGACTACCTGGGAAACCTTTGCCAACGAAGTCCCATAATCTTGCGACAACGTTGGTAAGGCGTTCGACCTTACGACGCTCGTGAACAAGGGCGTCCCACATACGGCGATTATCGTCACGCATGCCTGCAAGTTGAGCGGCGACCTGAAGAAAAGCAATGAGTGATAATCCGAGGAGGAGAATAAATGCCATGGAAAATCCCGGCACGAAGGCGAAAAGAACGCAGCAATGGAAGAATGCTCACCTCTCCTGGCAGCTCGACTCTGTGCTTCGCGCCCAAATCGGGCTCTAGTGCTTTGCGCTTGATTTCATCGAGCAAGTCGGGACGTCCCCGTAGAAACTTGTGATGCGAGAATTCCCAAGTCTGAGAGTCGGTAGACGTGCGTTGTGCACGAGGCGTACGATTGATTTTGTGGAAGCCGTACATGTTGAGCTGTCGCACGAACGACGAGAACTATGTTGGCAGTGTCAAATGCTGTTGCTACCATCAGATATTTTGGTGGCACACACGTTATTATGCTTGAAGTGGCTGCCTAGGATGCTCCGGCTGAACTCTCCCACATTTGACACGACAAACGATGTCCCAAGCTCTGTCCACGCAATAAAATGCGCGGATTTAGGATCTGAAATCATTCTACCATACTTAGTATTGAGAATTAGAGTGGGTTAGAAAAAGGAGTACGTACTGGTACAGCTTTGTGACAAAGTTGTTGGTCGGCATGGGCTTGCCCAGGACGCCAATGGTCGCTGATCCTGGTGGTCCTTCTGTTGGTGACGATTCCATATCCTGATCCTGGTCGTCGTCTGTTGGAGGCGGTGTTGTGCTGCTAGTAAAAGAGCGTTTTCTTTCGGTTCGTTGGAGAGACGGCGCTGGAGAAGCTGGCGATGAGCCAACAGAAAGCGACGAGAGATTCAGCGACAGGCTCTCGCGGCCGTTCTGCTGTTGTTGTGTCGAGGTAGGGGTGTTGCTGCTGGAGCTGGACGTCGGAAACGGTGGGTAGGCCTGGTTAGGCTGGTCAATGGACGAGGCGGGCGGGGAAGGGAAAAATGAATAATCCATCGACGACGGTGGATGGAGAGAAGGAGGGTTGTTTGTGAGTGTGTGATGGGATAATACGAGCCGGGGGTCCGGGGCTTTTTGCCGGCGGGATTTATTTTCTTATCCTTGGATCATTGCTTGATGTCGCCCATGCGGTCCGCCTATGAGCACGCAATACGTTATTTGGGTTTCTTCTCCGTCTCAACAAGGAATTCAAGGATTATTATTATTTTCTTATCTTGGTCACCGTTCGCTGTTTGGCTCAGGGGATCTAGCATGACAGGCACTTGCTACACGTGCCTTGCTTCCATCGGCTTTTGCCTCCGGTCCCTCGTGGCTTCTCTCAGGGCGCTTACCTACCCGCGCGCCGTTACGACCGTATACGTATATACACGTCGACAAAATTTGCTGGGAGCCACCCTTTTTTATCAGTTTTCGGTGTAGTCTGTATAGCCAAATCAAAGCGAGCTCTGGCCGCGTCTAAACCGCCTTTGAGCATTCCTCCGTTCCGCAGTTGGCCTCCCATGCGACACGCTCGCGCTTTACCTCTCACCCTTACTTCTCGCTCTGTATTTTACCTCCGATCCCCCAGCATTCTTATGCACCACTCTCACACGCTTTCAATTCTTACCCTTTTGCCCATCATTTTTTCACGTCCCATTCCCACCGTTACGAGTCCAGATCCATCACGCTCATATACAGATTTCAAACTATTTGCAAAACTCGCGTACCGGCTAACTGAGTCACCAAAGACAGATCCGTCATTTGACTGATTCTTCGGACTCGAATGGTACCGCGACGCCACTATAAAATATTGCACCAACATCGATTACACCATTTCAACAGACGGTGAACTCGAATGTGTACAATAATATAACAAGGTACTCGTCTTCCGTAACTTTTACGGCAACTCCAAGGGCTTCATTATAGTACGACTCAAGTGAGCCCTGACAGCACCCGCTACGCTATCCTCAAGGACACTCTACCCGCGAACATACAGGACGGCACCGAGGCCTACTAATAGCCTACTGCCGCTCAGTCGTACGTAGACAGACGCGCTTTTGTCGGGGCCTTACAATCTCCCAAATGGTCCGACACGCCGACATGTCTGTAGCGTTCCTCCGTAAAATAGACGTCATCAAATCACTCCGCGTTGGCGTAGTTTCTCCAATGAAAACGAATTCAAAAACCCGGTACAGAACAACAACATGGCGTTGGATTGCCCCAGAAATTTATTTTCAAGTAGACGCTCCAACACCGGGCCTTTTCCGAGCCACCGCCTCTCACCCGACAAAGGTTAGTCAATCTCATTTTCTCCGGTTCGCTCTCTACAGGCAAAGATTCGACTGACCATGAGTCCATCGTGACATAATGTTGTAATAAAGTTGAAGACCGGATGGATGTCCACAGACCTAAAAACGTATTCTTCAGTGCGACTGATGATACCACCGAAAGTTTTGACATAAACACCTATTCTCAATTATCTGTTCACTTACCGCTTTACGAGAAACACCCGAAACATTTGAATTGCATTCCAGAAACTTGCAGGTTGATCGAGGAATTAGAGTCTATTGCAAGGGCCAAGTTTATCACTCAGACTATCGACTTTTCCATGAGAAACTCTTCCGCATCAATATCTGACTTTCAATAGTCCAAGTGCAGAAGCCCCTACAGTAAATATAACTTTCTATTGTAACTCATTATCCCAGGCTCTCGGATGTATCACGATTCCTCGGACCTATCAATGCTAGGACAGTATCCAAGCCGCTGGCGCTGAACTCTCAAACATCAAGGGCGAACG